ATGGGGTAGAGCCATTATTTTAGATACTCGAATACAAATTCTGTCATTACTCTTAATGGTTGGAATGTATAAAGAAGTTAATTCGAAAACTGCGAACGTGGTTTTAAGTGACCATTATTATAAACGTGATAATGGTCACGGTTTCGTGGATAAAGCTCTAAATGGCATTCTTGTGTTTATTAGTGGATTTGGAGCTTTGTATAATTTTGCCATAACATAACTATAATAATTGGTAAGTCTGAGTGTGTGTGAATTCATATGATGGGATTATAAAATGAGTACAATTTGAATGTAAATTTTGAAAATTAGTTTAGTTAAATAATTATATAAATTGAAATTCATTTACATAGTTTATAAGTTATTACTGAGTACATTTACATAAATGGAGTAGTGATTATATTTAATTTTAGGTGATTATTAAATATAATAATGTGTACATGTAAATGTAGTGCCAGTGTGTCATATACATATATATATAATATATATATATATATATATATATACATAAGATATTTTAATAATATTAATGAACATAATCGCCAGCAATATATAACAAATAATACAAGATAAACGTTAATCCCTTCATTCATAAACAAGTGATTCCAAGTTAATATGATTTTAAAACAGTTCTTTATTAGGCGTATAAAAATGTCTATCTCTATCACTGGACATATCTCTGTCCATTTGAATGCCGCAAACAATTCCTTCGTAAAATCCCTAACATTTTTCATAAAATATCCATAATATATTTCAAAGCCTCTAAACCAGAATATTTTCATAAGCCATGTATACAAAACCCTACATTGTTAGAATTGAATTTAAAGATCTGAAAAGGCTCAGGCCTCTATCTATATCCATAAAACAGAATCAAATAAGAGGGTTTAGAAGAGAACGGCAATTTTCCATCTCTATCACTGGACATATCTCTGTCCATTTGAATGCCGCAAACAAATTCCTTCGTAAAATCCCTAACATTTTTCATAAATATCCATAATATATTTCAAAGCCTCTAACCCAGAATATTTTCATAACCATGTATACAACCCTACATTGTTAGAATTGAATTTAAAGATCTGAAAAAGGCTCAGGCTTCTATCTATATCCATAAAACAAATCAATAAGAGGGTTTAGAAGAGAACGGCAATAAATTCAGTAGAACGGTCAAGTGGGATAATTTTAGTGACCGCTAAATGGCGTAGTATTGTGTGTTTCGGGGCCGGTATGGTTTTATGTTTCCTTCACCCCGGATGGAGGGCGCAAACGGGAGGGCGCAAGCGGGAGGTCGTAAATCAAGTCAGGCCGCGATACAATAGCTACTCGGACCATGCGGACAGATAAAGTATAGATGCCGCACAACACGGACTCGTTTCGCTGCTGTCTGTTTCATTTTAATCTCGTGCTTTAATTTTGCCTCCACTAATTTCATTTCATCGGCGAAAAAATAAAAATACAATTAAAACTTGCTATATCCTACTTTTCGCAACGGATTTCTCGCTAAGTACAAGTCTCTTGAAGTTTCAAGAAGGATGCATAATACGATTGCATCTTTAATATATTTTCAAGTGTCGTTATGCTGATGGCACTGGCAATAGTCATTTCAGAAACGGTTTTGCGTATTGTTTCATTTCTGCTTATTTTGAAAGTATTTCTGAAGCTATACTTTTCCACTAAGTTTTATACATATTCTATAGCATTGCTTCGATTATACACGCTCATGTAGACATTTCATTTATATAAAACATTCTTGATTAAGTTTTGTGCTCACTTGTGAGATCTGGCATTCTAAAAAAACTCAAATTGTTTTGTGATCATTTTGAAACAACAGTCTCATGCAATAAAATTAATTAAACTGTTTTAATATATAATATAACACATTAATATTATAAAGTTTTTTGTTACATTAGTTAATTTAAACCTCAGATATTAAAATTATTGATAATATCAACATAATAAAATATTACATTGTATTTTAAATAAAACATTACAAACCTGAAGACTGGTATATATTTTGATGCTAAAGTTTTAATTAATATAAGTGTAAGTAATTGAAATATATAATAAAAATCATGACGCTGCATTTGCATTTGTGTTCAATAAGATCATTTTATGAACCATGAAATATGCTTAGGATATTTATCATATTTTTTATTACTTTCGTGCGTGAAACTTTACAACTAATTAACAACTAAGTAATTGCAATATAAACTAACTCAGAAATATTCTGCTTAAGTGGTAAGACATTTTCTTTTATTTAAAATTTACGGTACTTTAATATAGCAACGTAAATTTCTAATTTAATTCTATAAAGTTTCCTGAAATAGTTTCATTAGCATTTTTAATATTCTTTTGTTAAAGTTGGATCTCTATGAACCCGCATTTAGGTTTTGAAATATTACTACTAAAAATTTAATAATCGAGATATTGAGTGACACAACATTTTAACCTATCACAAAAAATTATAATAAAAATTGAGTTAGATTTTTTGAAATTATGTTTAATTAGAATTAAAAATTATTTTAATATGCTGAGATTTTATAACTCGATCTTAAATATTAGTTTTGTCAATGTCACATGTAAGCATATGACATGTTATATGAAATGGAAAATTTTGAGCCATGACAAAAATTTAGTATATGCTTATCAATGTTTCACAAGACATCTGTGTTAAAATATATTTAATTTTATTTTGCCATGCAATCAATTTCTGCACCAAAAGCAGAACTTTTCTATATTTTAATTATAATTTCAATTATCATTAACAAGGCAAATCTTAGCGACTAATCTCATTTGTAAAGATACACGAGATATCCTTTTATCCATCTTAATTTGTTCTCAGTTCCATGTTCTTACAGTCTGCTAATACTCTGTCGTTTCGCACATTTCTACCAGGAGATTTAATGAAAGGTTGAGTTATGCCCTCAGCTCTGTAGGTACTTATAGATAGTGAAGCTGATAGATTACAAGTGTATCGATCTGCTATTATACATCGCACGAACTGTAAGCACGAATATTGTTGCTATAATGAGAATTTAATATTTTCCGGTTATGTACGATATGAAATTGTAAATATAAATATTGGTTGGAGTGAATAATAGTATTTGAAATTATTGTCCTACCATTTAAGTGCTCAATGTCTTTTATTGTGATTCAACAAATATCTTGGCACCTTTGTTTTTGAGTTTTTCACAAGTATCAAAAGTTTATACCGATCTACAATAATTTCATACTTTCTATTAAAGTTGAGATATCAAAAAACTAAATGACCAAATTTTCTCGCCAGTTCTAATACTATAAAATATACGAATTCTCGCAACAACAAAATTTTTATTTATAAAACATCATTTTTCAATTAATCTTATGAAATATTAAGTAATATCATTCCAGATAGATTACGAAAACATGGTCTTAGCGGCTTAGTTACGGTGGAGACGCCGATATATTAGAGCAACTATGTTATTTAAAAATCATAATTTTCTGTAATATTTACTGCATAAAAAGTCAATACAAAAATAAATAAATATTGATTCTAGGCTTTACAAATTCATGCATTTTATCACGGGGCTACAAATTTCTAATAGTAACTGCCATTTCAAAAAATCTTTTATGTTTTTACATAGTATAAGTTAATTATTAGAGTAAATACTACCCACTTCTATAAAAGACATTATATTCTTTCTGAGTATATTCTGCATATGGTTTCAGTTCATTATTCATAATACTCGTGAAAACTTCAAAAGAATAAAAACCAGTTTATGATATTTGCATATGAATACTAAAAAGGAGGCTTAAAGAGAAAGATTTCACCAACCCATTAAATTCCAAAACCACTCATGTACACAACTCGAAACCATCATTACGTACCCTTATAATGCGATTTTGTACATAAAGAAAAATCTCTCTGGGTTGACTTTGAAATGGTCGGATGCGAATATTGATTTTAACTTATTAAACATAATATCGTTCCAGTTTGTGTGATGGTATTACCTGAGAATTTTCTGGAGCAACAAAGCAATTTAGTTTTTACTAACGTAATAAGAATGAAGAAAGCAATCGGTACTTTGGAAACTGTAATATCTTCATGCAAGGCCCACCGCAAAATATAAAATATTTATAAGAATGTGGTAGCAGATTTTTAAGGATTTAGTTTTTCAATTTTCTAGTGAAAACATTATTATTAATATAACAACTGTTAGCCCTTTCATATTTCATAAAAACAAAAATTTTCAGCAAGGTCGTCATAAATATTTATTATTAATCAACTATCACTATATGGGCAAGATTCTCTATTTCAACTAAATTACGGTCGAATCACTGAAGTTATTACTTCATTACTTTTATCTTTATATGCAATCACTTTTATGATTATATCCAGGAAATTCTAGTAGAACGGAGTAATATAGTTAGTGCAAAGAAACGTTAGGACCTTATGAGAGTATGATGACACCGAAAGCTCTTTGCTAGATTAAAATTATTCTCACATATAATAAATGATAATCAATATGTATGATTTTTTTTTAAATTATTATGCATTTTAAATTTACGTTTTTTTTGTAAAGATATTAATCTAATAAACTAATGCGATAATAACAAATAGAACGACTTTAAAAATACTGATTTTTATCATTATATTTATAAAATCTACTAATTTAAATAAATAACGATATTCATTTCCAACGTTTTATTATATATTACTACCAACGAAGTCGTTCGTATTTAATTTTTGTCGTATGTCGTATGTAGTCCATTCAATACAGATCTACATCTGTTACATTATTGTACTTGTTTACAATTTATAAGAAAATAATAAAAATTCAAAGAAAATGGTATCGATTCGAAAGGCAGAGGCGAGTGAAGTGTTATTACGTTTGGTCTTGGAACTAAAAGGTTTCAAAACAAGCGCGGCGTCAGAAACGAGTACTCAAATGATTGCATTGCCTGATCATTAAAATAAAACATTACATTTTCAAATTTTCCTTATTCGTTTTAACGTGCATTTCCAGGTTTCATGGGTGAGGCATCGAGACATCCATCTCTTGACTGTGGGAAGGTACACGTACACTTCAGATCAGCGTTTCGAAACGAAACATTCGCCTCACAGCGAAGACTGGCTGCTGTACATTCGCTATCCGCAGAAACACGACACAGGCGTCTACGAGTGCCAGATATCAAGTACGCCTCCCATCGGGCACAAGGTGTATCTCGACGTAGTTGGTGAGTCAACGACATAGTTTTTAAATCAACAGACAACTTAGAAATCACTCTATTTGTTTTATGACTTTATTTGAACATAAAAGGAAATCAAACAATAAATCAATTATAAACAAATAAAGAAATTTTATTATTTAACACATTTTCAATATTTTGAATTAGTTGTCAATCATTGAGCATTCTAAGCACAATCTAGGTGATTTTTGTTGTCATTTTTATGTCCATGCTAAAGATATGATTGTGATCACTAAAATTGCACAATGAAACACATTGGATTTATCATAATTACAAGATCAGTTTTACTAATTCAGTTAAAATGCAATTTCGCCAGCTTGATGTCTGTTTTGCAAGCGTTTCTGAGTTAAAATACATATGACTAATTTTTTAACAAACTTAAAAAAAGGATTTAATCTTTATATTCAAATATATACTTCTAGAAATTCTCTATGTCGAAATATGTATTAAACGTTTTGTGACTACGGGAACAAATAATGATAATTTTAACAAAATCTATTAAGATTTGTATTAATAATAATGTAATTCTAAGATTTGTATTCTATATTTATCATGTTGTTCTACATATACAAATATACAAATGTTATACAAACCAAATACATTAATTTCACTAGTTGGTTCCTAGGCAAAAACATACGTATAATCAGTAAGAGGCTGTTTCTTGCAAACTAATTTATCAAACGAGACAAGATTTCTGCGCCGGTCTAGTATAACATATCACATTTGCTTATATGTTCTAGATTTAAACAACCTGGTAATAATATAATGTGTTTAAAAATTGTTTATATTACACATGGTTTTATACATTATTAATTAACTCGTAAAATTAATTTCTGTTTGATAAAGTAATATTGGTATTGCTGTTCAGTATACGATTAATTCACGAACCAACATGTATTGTCAAAGCATTTTCGTGAAAGAACAAAGACTTTTAGTACAAAAAGGCAGTTCCACTTGATCGTTATTTAGACAGACATGACATCGTGAATTGAGTTAAATCGACTCCCACATTATCATGTTGTGTCTAAATATCTATTCTCCTTTGAATAGACGCTGAATATTGTATGCGCGTCCAATTTATTGTGTTTGTCAAACAACTTTAACAATCTCGGATATTCTGAACATGTATTCTAATTTGTATGATAATAATATAAATTTATTTTAGTACGTATGCATCACACGCTGGAAGTTGCAAATTATATTTAACAATTAGTGACCAAGTAAAATTAGTGGAATAATCTAGGTCGAAACAAATACGATAATATTAAACTAAGTGAGTACGTTTTTATTGTATTAACATATCAAGAGGTCAATCAAATATTTATAATTACATCAAATACTAAAATTGATAAGTTCCCTTATAATTTTGTTATAAGTATAAAATTTTATAAAGTATACAATAAATATACAATTTTTATAAAGTTATAAATAGATAAATAAGCTTGCAGCAATGTATTAAGTAGAACAATACTGCTAAGTTATTTATAAATTATGCGTTTTAGTAATTTATGTATGTGTTGAGTACAATTATGTCATCTTCTCATAAGGTAGACGTGTTGAAACTATTCGCAGGTAGTTTCATGATGAGCAGGCAGTTGAATCTAATTATAGTTATCAATTTTCGTATTATACATTAGATTTCACTTACGTGCCAGAGCATTGTTTGTAGGTGCTGAGATGAAAGCTTCTTGAAGGGATATGTTATGCATTTTGATGGAACTTACTATGTAATTGAAAACATTAGATAAGGCTTCGTACTATGTTTTAATATCATCACGTACAACTTCTTGTTTAAGAGACGATTTTCATGCCCTCGGGTTGCGAAATAAACGATCAAAGGCAACTAAGATATACTACATATTGCTAATGCCCGCCCGATTATAGCAATTTGCACCTGCGCAACTTAAAATCCGCCAACGGGATAAAGATTCGCGTACATTAAATATTCATGAGAAGATTTCCGCTAGGATTTCGAAAAGTGAACATAAGTCTTTTGTTATTACAAATCATTATTTCGATAGTCTTTTCAGTGAAGTTCCTCTTCCATGACTTGAACTTCTTTTCGAAGTTTCCTATATATCTGGCGTAATTTGCAAAACAGCCCGGAGTGAAAATGAACTATATCCCAATACACTTTATCAAGAAATTCTCTGTATTCTCCAGAGAGTTCTCTCTCTCTGAACTTTTCCATGCTTGATCGGTCGAAAGAATTCGTACTTTTTTCTACTCGCATAAATTGTCTTGTGTAACGATCTTCCTTGTATACAAAATTGCAAACATTAGTACTTTTGTTGCCATGTAAGACTAAACCTTTTCAAGGTTCCAACAATGTAATACGATCTATATAAAGGAACTGCCGTTCCTCGATAAATCCGAGTTGATTTACTTCAGAGCTGATATTAGATGTGGTCCAGAGCTCACAACAGAAAGGAGCGATCCATTTGCAAGTTCCATAAATTTATATGTACATTTTATTTATTCTATTTAATATTGTCAAGTTTTATCACATCTCTTAACGTCAATAAAAAAGTCTTAATGTTTATTCTAACAATTTTACATCAACTTCTAATTATAGACAACGCAGTATTCAACCATATTATTAAGTTTCATAATATTCTATAAAGTCTCGTCTTATCCGGTTAAATATACCTTCCAATTAATTTACACTCACATTATAATAATTTAAGAATGTTTCAATCATCTAATATGTATCTCCATTATTCGCATTTGAAATATTCTACAGATTTCTTATAATTCAATTTTACTTTATAACAATTTCAAATCGAAATGATCAAATGCCCAATATTATCTCACACTACCATAAAATTTACATAATCTTTTGAGAACATCTGGCAACGTCATTAAAAACTCGTGATGCATGAGTTTCATATTGAAAAGTTATAAACATTTAAAACTTTGAAGAAATTTTACATACGCCGTAGGAGATTATGTTTTCTCGAGTATTGCCAATTTTAAATGTAATTACAAAAGTCTTTATAAAATTTTATTGCGTTTTATCTATTTTAGAACACAATTTTATTGAATGTTTATTTAGATTTATTATATCTAAATTCATATCATAGATAAGTATTTAATAATAATGATGCACAGACGAATCAATGTTGTCAATGTAAATTAAACAAGAAACACAAATTATAATAATGTTCGATAACTTTTCTTGATGATTTTACAAGTTAAATAATTCAGTAGATTGTTTGCAGGCCAGGAAATGAAACGATAACATAAATTCATTAAATTTCTGTTAAATGCTAATTTTCTTCACCTTAATTAGCATTCAAAACATTTATTTTGCCAAACTCCGAAATAATCTTAATAATTATCTTCAACATCTTCGAAGAATTTAAAACCTGTTCATATCGTAACAAAGTTAAATGATCATGTTTTTCCATAAAATAATTCGCCTTAAAATCCGCGATCCCAGATTTGGGAAAAATAACGCCTCGCCTTATTTAATTTTCTCGAGGCGTTCGTATACTTCGCCACACCCTCGTTGAAAGACAAATAAATTAACTTAAATTAGTGCTGTTATCTTACACTCTGATGGTATTTAGTGGCTCCCCGAGAAGGGACTTAGACCCTCACGTTAATCACCCGTGCGTCTAAGGATGAAGACACATTTAACGGTTTTCAGCAACGGCAGTTTGTCTTTATATAGAAAAGATCAGAATAAATATAAATATTACCCTCGGATATTGCTAAATTATTCCCAAAAATAATGATCAATCGCTGAAAATAACGTTCTCATTCGTTTAATTATTTTCTAAAAATAGCCAGGGCAAAATAGAAGTTATTTCTCTTCAGATTTAATTAGAAAATATAATATCATTATATGACATTTTCTTCGGAGAGTCATTAGATGGGATATGAGTCAAAATAATGCCGAAAATAGATAACCAGATATTGTGATCAATGACAGAAGAAAAAATTCACTCCGTGATAAGGAAAGAAGTAATGATGAAATCCAAATATCATCATCAAAGAATCTGTTTCTATTGTTTCACAAAATAGCAAAGTTTTTTTGTTGGTATGTATTTATTTATTATCAATCAGAATATATATTATTTTTCAAGTATATTTGCAGGTCTTTGTGCCTTTAAGGGGCACAACTAGTATAACCGCCTAAAAAAAGGTGATTTTTGGGATTTATATTAAAAAAACTACTTTATCAATCATTTTAAAATTTTAGAAATATATTTATACATGCTTTAAGAATACATAGTAAGAAAATTAAGAAAAAATTAAATATTTTTTTAGTTATCGTCGATCTTCATCGGCGCGACAAAAAAGGCCCTTAACTGCTGCAGTGATTTCGGCCTTCTACGTGGATGAAATAAAAAAAAAACTCGTTAAACTAGATAATATTGTCTGTAAAATGAACTACGATAAAAAAAAA